TGTAGTGAACACGTATAAGATTTATTTGTTTCTAAAAAGTTTTCTATATAAATATATATATATAGTTAGAAAAAAAAATAAATAAATAATTAAAATTTAAAATACGGTAAAAATACCTTTTTGTTTTTTTAACTGATTTATAAGTGATACGTTATATCCTAAACATAAAGTTTTTAATGAATTTTCTTGTTTGTTTTCTTTATTAATAGTAATTTGTTCTTGTTTGTTAATTAGTTTTGACTTTTTTGATACTTGTTTTTCTACATCAGACGTTTTTCACTTTTTTAGAGCACCTTTAGTTTTTGCAATTAATGGATTATTAATTCTATTATTATCTGAAGGTTGCTGATTTAACTCTATAGTCTTGATTTCTAACTCTAAAATTGTTCCAATCGAATTTACAAATTTTTCTGTAAGATGTGAGTTTGCTTTAGTAAATCGTTGAATTTTATTAAGGAGTCATGTAAGAAGAAAATTTTGATCTTTTTCTTGGTTTTTGTAAGTTATAGTTGAATATAAAATTGTTGAATCTACTATTGTAGTTGAATAAAATTCATGATATCATTGTACTAGTTCGAGCTCAGACATATTTTTATGCTATCTTAAGTAAAATAATGATGTAGGAAGTTCTTCAAGATTTAATTGTACTGCTACATGAAAAATATGATGACAAATAAAGCCTGAAAATTGAGTATATCCACAACTACATTCAAAACTTTCTGAACTTGAACAATATGTAACTGATCATAGTAAAGATTTACTTTCATATCATTGAACAAACATTAAATAGTTATATTTTCGAAGTTACTAAAAAAAATAATAATAAATAAAAAATAAATATAAAAATAAAAATTTTTTCTAAAATAAATTATATATACGTACTCAGTAGTTTCATATTTATAATTAAGTGATTGAATAAGTTGCTCTTGTGTTTTACGTAAAGCATATCGAGTTAAAAAATGTGCTGCTTGTTTTTCATAAGGACTAGTAGTTTGAAAAGTAATATTATTGTTATCTTGTCGATAAATTTCAAGCTCAATACATTTTTTACGAGAATCTAATGCTGTTTCAAATGCTTGAATAAATGCTGATAACGATGTTATTGCATCCATATATCCTTTTATTAAATGATTCATTGATTCTCCTCATTGAGTTGTAGTCATATCAGCTATAAATATATTATAATTATAGCAAGCAGCTTATTTGTTAACAGTTTTTTCCATTTGAACTAAATAAGCAACAGCTTTTGGATATTCGTTTTTGAGAGAATTCCACAATTCATTAAAAGTAATTTGATCACATTCTTCTAAATATTTATAGAATTGCTTAATAAAGTTAGACTATTAGTTGCCTAATTTGCTAATAAGATTCTTCATAACATTTTTTAATAAATGCTATTAACAGAGACGATGTTTTGTATTATAATAATAAAAAGTATTATTATAAGCATTAGAAATTCCTTTATCGTTATCTTTTAGTAAAACTTGTAGTGCTTTCATATTAACCATTTTAAGAAATTCTAAAAAAATTCAAGTAAAGCTTGCTTCAGTTTCATTGCTCATTAGTACTCCCGCAAAACAAATACTTTGTCCTAAATTATTAACACCTGTAAAAATTCCAAATGGCATATTAAATCAGTTTGTTTGATAAGTATTATCAAATACAATAATATCATTAAACTGTGAATAATATATTCATTGTTCTGTAAATATCCAAATTACATGCTTAAGCCTGTTTGTTTCAAAATTAACCATGTAAGAAAATTTAAATTCAGGATTTTCTTCTTGCATTAGCTTAAGTGTTTGAATAAATTCAGAAGCATCAAATTTCTCATTGTTTAATTCTTGTGTACGGTAAATAAAATTATATATATCATCATAGATCCACGTAATTTTCTCTGAAAATTCTTCTTTTAATATAGATATAATTTGAGATACATCACATCCTGCATGTCATAATAAAAGAACTCGTTCTTTAACATTATTGAAAGATTTCGTTCTTGTTAAGTAAACCTTAATTCTTCTTGTTTAATCATCACATAATTGTGTATTTCTTGTAGTGCAATAATATACTATTTATTATTTTCTTTATTTAATGACGTGCGTACCATATATTTGCAACTACATCGTTTTAATTCTCTTTGCTGCTTTGGTTTATCATAATCTTTCTTTGCTACAGGTATACCTTCACGTAAATATAAAATTGTTCTTTTACGTATTTCTTTTTCTTTATTTCTATTATCAACTTTACTATATCTAATTGTAAAACCTTGACTAAAACCATATTGCCGAATTGTTTCAAAAAACTCTTCTTGAGTTGAAAAAGATTCTCCAAGTTGTGGATGTGACTTATTTTCTATATTAATCATTTTTGAATATATACATATTAAAAAAAATGAAGTTTTGCATTTAAAAGATATTGATCTACCAGTATATATAATAAACTTTTTTAATATCATATATAAAATTTAGGTTTAGATTAAGGTTTTTCTATATTTAACATAAACCTCATTGAGGCCTAGAATAAAAAAAAAATTTTAATATAAACCTCTATGAGGTTCATATTAATTAACATAAAACCTAGGTCTAGGCTAAGGTTTCTCTAACAAATAAAGGCCTAACTGACTTCTTCATAGCTAGTAATAGAATAGATCAAAGTGAAGTCATCTCTTTACTAATATGAAAAATATTTTATGACCCACTATTAGTAAGAATACAGCAACTAGAAATAAGGTACCAAATAGAGTTACAGTGACCAATAGACATTGAAAGGTGAATATACATAACAGAAAAAGCTATAATTTTAGTATTGGTATATGCGGATGATACCATATGAGTAGCAGAGTCTAAACTCACATTGCAAAAAATTATACAAGTATCAAACAGCTTTTTTATATTGAATGATATCAAGATAAATAGAGCAAAATCTGAAGCAATTGCTTAGAGACTCTGTAAAAAAGAAAAAGAAGAATATATCCAAATCAAAACACTACTGAGTATAGTCAAAGTTAAAGAACCAGAAGAAAGTACAAGGTTCCTAAGAGTCTGGATAAGCTTAAGAAAACAAAAGAAAACAAGTTTTCTTCAGTGCAAAAAAGAAGTAGGAAAGCTGACATATATACTAAGATATAAAAAACTCTTAGCAGATCAGATAATATATATAAACAATATAGTATTGCTTCTAAAGCTTGAGTATCTGCTAGCAAATATCTGTCTAAAGAAAAAATCATGTGATGTTATACATCAGCTTATATTTAGACTAATAAAATAGAAACTAGAACTTTCATTTACATATACAAATACAACTCTCTAGCATAAAGAAATATTTGGAGTAGTAAGCTTATGACAAAAATATATAGAGTACCATATATTTGAACTTATTGTTAGGATGAATACAAATAGTATCATAGGCATAACCACTTTAATAAACTGAAAAAGTCACAACTAGATACAAATATACTAGAATGTATTCTTATCACAGAAAATATGAACTGAAAAAAACTAAGCATAGAAACCTAGGAGCCACAATAATACAATATGCAAAAAAGTTTGGTATAAGCATCACAAAAAATAAGTTTACAGAAAGCTAAAGTTTTGCAAACTTATAGGAAGAAAAAAGTTGCCACATTAGCAATATCCTTAATAAATACAATATAAAGAAAGTGCAAGAAGGTATACTGTAAGTAAGCTTAACTTATAGCATATAAATCAGCTATTAGATAATAAACAAGAAAGAATAATTACTTAGAGACAACTTAAAGTAAAAGAAAGAAAGAGATATATTAGAAGAAAAGCAAAGTAGTTCCAAGCTGTAGAAAATAAAATTATAGCAGATAAGAGCTTAAGAGAAGTAAACGAAAAGTACCAGAAGAGAAGAGGATTTCAAGTATAAAAAATCGAAAAAAGAATCTCACAAAACAAGAGAAAAAAAGAATAGGTACTTATAAAAAGCAAAGAAACAAAAAGAATGAAATAGGCTATATTATCAGAAAAGAAAAGAAGATAGTAGAAGTAGAGATCTAGGAAGAAGACCAGAAAAACTTAGATAAAAATTATAGTCAACAAGAAGTATATGATAAAAGAACCAAACTCAAGAAAAATAGACAAACACAAAAGATTGCATTACAAGAAGTTTATAATATCTCAGGTCTCATATGAAAGAAAGATAATATATTAGAAGTAATATTTAGTAAAAAAAAGGGTTGGGTCCCATGGCTTAGTTGGTTAAGTCCTCAACCCTCCACAGACAAGGTCAACGGTTCGAGTCCGGTTGGAGG